CTCAGCATTCAGCAATTGCACTTCGGCATGGTGTTGGGCTTTCATAACCTCGATCTGCTGTTTTTTCTGGGTTAGGAGCTGCTCTTGCTGGGTTCGGAGCTGCTCTTGCTGGGTTCGGTGCTGCTCCAGTTGCTGGATCCTAGCATTCAGCTTTTGAACTTGGGCATGGTGTTGGGCTTTCATAACCTCGATCTGCAGTTTTTTCTGGGTTAAGAGCTGCTCTTGCAACAGTTTAATTTGCGATTCTTCACTTTCTGCCTTGCGCTTAGCCTCCTCCATTGCTGCTAACCGGTCCAAATACTCCTTGTTCTGCCTTTCAAACTGATCCGCAGAGATCTTGTTTTGAGCCGCTTGATCTTTCAATTCTTTCAGTTGCCTGTTAATCTGAGGTTTCTGCGTTTCCATGGTCTGCCTCTGGGTATCCATGGTCTGTTGGATGCTGGCCAGCTCCTTCTGCAATGACGCTTGCTCCTTCTTGGTTGCTTCTAGCAACCGTTCAAGTTTCGTTTCCTCGTCAATCTTGTCCTTGACTCTCTCTTGTATGCGCTGCAGCGTGTCTGGCGAATATCTCTCTTTGCAGTTCATTATGAGATGTCCGAGAACTCGCTTCCGAGATTGGAGTCGGTCGTACATATTCCATTCGCGGGTTCTTTTCTTCGTCGTGGGAGGATTGTCTACCAAGAGAAATTTCTTAACGGACGCCATGACGGGCGATTTCTCCTGCAAGTATTTCTTCACCCTGATCTCCTCCGCTGGATCCTCATACTCGACGCAGTGGGTGCGGATTACACTGGTATATTGGATTACTTCACCTTGAAACATGGCACTCCTCAAGGCGTCTTCCTCTTCTTTCGTGAAGCGAGATTGGATGACGAACAGCACTTGATTTATTCCTCCGGTGCATTTACTCGCAATATGGGCAAGCTTATTGAGGACTTCATCAGGCTCTCGCTCTGGGTTACCAATGCCCACGGTATCCACAATCTTCAGTACGTACCGAGTACCTCCGAAATGAACCGCAACCAGCTCGGTCGGCGTTTCCCTCGTCTCGGACATAGCTGCCCAAGACTCATGGAAAAGGTTCTCTTTACCTGCCAGCACGTTCGCCATGGCGGATTTTCCCGCTCCTATTCTCCCGATAAGAAGAACAACACGGTCGGCCTGCTCATCTGGCATAGGGTCCGGCCCGTCTTCATACAGGCTCACATAGGTGCTATCGCAATTGGCCATGGTGTCCGCAACTTTGTCTGCAGTTGCAGCAAAGGTACTTCGTCCGATTCAAGTAGCGGCTTCACACTGTTGAGCGAAGACTGCTGTGCATTGTTCATATAGCTATCGCAGCCGTAGGGAGTGCAGCACTGTTACACTATGTGGAGGAGCTTGGTCATGGTGTGTGTGCCATGTCATGTGCCGTTGCACTGCCTGCACGCGTTCCAGGATTTGCGGCAGGGAGACTGCTAGCTTGTGCGTGTCTCACTCTCCGCATTTATCCGATTAAACTTGACTGACAAGCACGGATTGGACGTGTCACTCCTTGGCGACTTGGTGGAGAGAGCTGTCTATTTGATGGGAGTTTTACCAGCAAAAATGTGTTGATCCGTGCACATTTTTCTGCCGGCATAATCCGCCGGTGCCTACATGTACGTATCTAATATTGACTGGGTACGAGGTCAGTATAGGCAATAAAAGCCGAGTAAAAGACCGAGGCGAAGCCGAGGTTTTTTACGAGGTTTTTATTTCCTATACTGACCAAGTACGAAGTCAATATTAGATTTATCACGACAAACAGTCCGTATTTCAAATTCCAGAACGATAACCTCATGAATCCCGGTTTTATGATTGCACAACCGTTGCACCACCACCTGCTCATGCAGTGACAATGCTGCACTAGGCACCGTTCAACTGCGCAACCCCTAAGCAGTCAAATATAAGCAGTCAATATAGCCCTAAGGAGTGAAATATGCAGGAATATTTGACTGCTTAGCTATAGCGAAAATCAATGGGAGTCAATACTAAGGGAGTGATAAACTGAATTATTGTAGTGCTATGCGATCCTGAACACCAGTAGGTACACCAACTAACAATTACACTGCGTTTCCAGCGCAACAAACACCTCCCAAACTCCAGGCAGCAACGTTAGTCAACCTAGTCAACCTACATACCGGTAATTATATTCTTCATTCGTATAGTGTACTAGTGCCCTGGAGAACCAAATGTTTCAAATTATGCATTCATTTCGTTGTATTTCGCTTGTCGGTGTACAATTATTCACATCCATAATTATCACTACGTCACGTGCTAGCCTTCAACTATAATGCACTGTCTCTCCTCTAAACATTTCATACCGTGTACATGTACGTGTCACTTGCGTTTTTTGTCCCCATGACGCCGAGACCTCAGGTCGGCTGAGGGCAAGAAGCCTCACCATCAGTATGCTCCAATATACAATTGTTGTCTTTGCCCGTGAGCTGTGATCACGCAGAAGTTTTTTTACTTCAGTAAATAAATTATTATGCAGGCAGGCATAGTGGGATGGTCTAAGACCATGATTGAGAAACAGAGGGTACCAGGTTCAAGTCCTGCTTGGAAGCGGAAGAAATTTTCCAGCCGTGCTGCGACCCACAGTTAATTGGGAACTCGTGGCCTGGCACGAGGGTAACATGGATGCAGCTAATGGGATTTCGGTCTTTGACACTTGGTGGTGGGTCTGATCTACTCACCTCCCACCGTTTAGGCGCTGCATCTGCGCCTTTGATCCTAGAGGGTGGTGGCGTTCCCATGACGGATGCGGAAAACACGGTTTCCAGCCGAGTCTCACGCGAACCGTGAAATTTAAATTTAATTTATTATTATTCAAAATGAAAGTAGCACGCGGCAAGCGGCGCCAAGCGCTAGCCAATCCATGCATCGACTGTATGATGACGACAGGCAACACGACGTTATGAGCATGCTAGTACTCTCACATGACACCAAACATATTAGTTCCAATATTATTATTTCCAGCCTCCCACGAGGCCATTGTCGCAGTGTGTTGAGAACAACGCTCTCCCTCTCCCTCGATATCTCACCTCAACTACTCACTTCAGTCCACTGACGCAACAGAAGATGCTGTTTGACATGTCTGATAGCAGATGTGGGGTGCGCTTACATCCCCGCTAAACCGCTACCGCCGTACCGGCACCAGGCTAAAAGCAGAACTTTGGTGCACGTGATGTGCGCGAAAGGATAATGGATGTAGACGTTTAGCATACCCGTTTTCTGCTCCCACCAGCGTACAGACTACAGTACATAGAACAGCCATGGCCCATGTGGCAAGGGTCGATTGGTAAGCATGACAGCATCCATATCTAACGGTACAATGAAGAGATTATGACTGCAGTACGAACCTCAACTCAAACTCAAAGCAGGTCACTTTCATCTGTTCACCAATACAGTCAACCTCGCATAACGACACTCGGCGGGGCATCAAACAAGTGTCCTTATTCGCGAAGTGTCGTTATAAACTTATACCCGAAGTCTCATTATTATGTATTACAGTTGGAAGGGACTTTGCTCTGGGCATGGAAATTCTGTCGTTATTCGCGAATTGTCGTTATATCCGCAGTCGTTATTAGCGAAGTTGACTGTAGTCCATCATCCTCTTCATTTCTGTGTAAGATTTTATCTGATCAAATCCGATCCTATCCATATTACTATGGGTAAGTATATTATGAATGCACTGCTGCGACATTTACATCATAGTTGTACATTTGGAATTACAATTGTTAATATTAGACTGTATCAAGTTACAGACATTTATCTCCTTTCTTCCTGTTGTATAATCACTGTCCGGCCCGGCGTGTATTTACCGCCATATTGCCAGGTGCGTGTTTACCACCATAATTATGAATAAAATACTCAGTTGTTACTGCTGCGACATTTCATCTGTCATCTACACTCCGTGTATTCGGTTTTTCAAGAGGTTTTTTTTCCGCCACTCCATATTTAACATATCCAGTTACTTTCGGTGATTCCTTTCGCTTTAATGCGGTCAAAGCGAAAGAAATCATCAATTTAATAGATTATGTCGCTCACATTAAGAGTACTCTTGCCCACATGTATAGAACGAGGCGCCGTCACCTGGTTGTGTTACACCAAACAACCGACTATCCGGATGCCCTCGACAGTCTGTGCACTGCAAGCCGGCACTAGCGAACCAGACGCTGAAAACATGTGCCAAGGATGACAAGTCATAAGAGCCAAGATGCCTGCGATCTCGTGCACACAGTTCAATTTGCAAAGGGGGAATGTTCTTTGACGCACAGAGGGCCCAGGGGAGTACGGAACCTTTTTTTTAGCATCACGGGACTCGCAAACTCGCGCACGTTGGCATTTTTCGCGAGGTCATGGTCCGGCCGTTCCACATTGCGAACTTTGTGCGAATCTAAGCTCATTTACAATGCTAAAATTCTGGAACTAAACCTGGGCCCTGGGGCCTGGGGCCTGAGTAACCACATACACTGTACATGCACATGATAATTATACAATGACTTATGTACAGTAGGTATCATTGCTATACATGTACGTAGACTTAGTGACGGCACTCCGTAGGTCGTTGCTGGCTGTGTATCATCACAACTTGACACAAGCCACCCTAGCCCTAAGCCTATTTCAATCACATCCGATCACAATCCTTTAAAAAATAGTTGGCATTACATCATCACAAGCCCTAATAAGGCACTGGGGCATCGCAGAGCGGCAGCAAGCTATACTATGGAGAGCCAGCACAGCACATTACACAACCATGAGCATTTCCCAACTATCACATGCACAACCGCTGGCAGAAGCGCCGAAACCCCCATTGGCCATCGGCCACCTCCACGTGCTCATTGTGCAACCAAACACTTATATTACGCTAGTTCTTTGCAGGCAAAAAAACCTTTTACAGAAGGAGTGCTGATTTCCCAGTTTCATTTGCCCCCCCCCCCCCCCCACACACACACACAAACACCATGCGAATGTCATTTCTGAGGCCTGTGTATGCCAGAGACCAACTTAGAACAGAGAACACAGCACTTCTTCTGAGTAACAGCGGTGTTCATGTCCCAAGTGGTTGGAGCTACGGTAAGGCCTGGGCATACCAGCATGGTCGTCCAGCAAAGTGACGCTTCAAGCAGGCACTCTGTCTATCAATTGTCACCACGTTTGCATGAAGAACTGTGCCTGCATGCAACATTGGTCCTGCGGCCAGCACCGACAGCGCCTGCATCAAATCTCTGTGCCTGCAGCAAATCTCTGGGGCCTGCATCAAATCTCTGGGGCCTGCATCAAATCTCTGTGCACCCACCATGCCTGCATCAAACAAAGCATGGTACACGTGCAGATATAGGAACACTCACCAGGGTGTCTGCAATGATTAATGTGGGTGCAATCAACACCACACAGAAGCAGAGTAATACTCGAGCAACTGGCACTCTCAGATAAAGAATAAAACTTTGAAGTAGAGGTAATTTGTCGGCTCCGTTTCCGAGGGAACCCAGAATGGCCGCTACCACACGGTAAATCCACACTCCGCACTCTCAGACACTAGTGGCGAAAATGAGCAAAAGGCAAGCAGACACAAAATACAAGCATGCCGGGGATGCGAGCAGGCTCGTGACAGACAACAAACGTGCACAAAGAAATGGTTTGTGCGAAGACACATGCAGAATAGTCAGCATGTGCATATACACACGGTGACACATGCTGTTGTATTCGCAGCCACGACGTGTCTTCCCTTTGTGCGTGAACACACGTAAGTAACGACAGTCAGTGTGCTCATGCAGATACACACACACACACACACACACGCACGCGCGCGCGCGCGAGTACACGCGTGCACACACACGCACCACGCACGCACATACGCACGCACGCACACACACACACACACACACACACACACACACACACACACACACACACACACCTGGAGAGCAGCTAGCTCACTCTATAGCGTGATGTAGGCAATGCCTGGCGCATGGATGTAGTTATCCATGGTGTAGTTGACCACCGCCATGATCATACTACTCGACGTGCCAAAGTAGACCTGTGAACCAACGCCATAGGTGTTGACCTGCAGACACAGAAAGGCGGTAAAGAACAATAGTACAGTCACCCTCATGAATAGCAACCCCGGGTATACAGGTCGTCCCCCGTTGATACGGGTCAACCCCGGGTATACAGGTCGTCCCCCGTTGATACGGGTCCGGTCTGTACATAAACCCCGCCAGTATAAAAGAAATCAAAAAGTCCCGAACGAAACGTGTCACTTCCATACTCATTGCGCCGGCTAGTACATAAACCCCGTTAGTACATACTTCGTTAGTACATAAACCCTGTTAATACAATCATAACATTTCTCCAAGTCCCAGAGATTATGTATTAGCTAGGCACGACCTGTAACAACAACAACGCATGAACAACCACCCTGTGTTTGATTTTAGGGTATCCTTCCCCTTCAAATTTCAGGATCCGTAGAGTTTGGGGTGCTGAGTCGAATGGTCTTTGTCCGAGGAGGCTGCTGCCCATGGTTCGTCAGATATGCCCAATCGAACATGTGCGAATCCGAGTGAACATATTAATTAAAGGGGAAGTATACCCTAAAATCAAATTTTCACCAGTTGTAGTCTTCGGGGTGCTGAGTCGAATGGCCTTGGTCCGAGGAAGCTGAGACGCTCCCTTCCTCCTTTATTCCCAATTCAACTCGCGCACTTCCACCGAAACTGGGTGACTGCGCCCTAGTAGATAGGGATTTGTATGGAAAAGTCACTTAAAACGCCCTTTCGTTCTTATAAAAGCACGGATGATCGCGATAGGTCCATATGTTGTAGTCGTTTGGCCACTGAGTCGACTGCCTTTGGTCCGAAAAGGCTGCGATGCAGCTTTCGGCCCTTATTCCCAATCGAACACGGTTGAGTAAGCGGTCATGTGCTCATGCGTACAACAGTCGCCTGGTCACCGTCCCTGCAGGGTACAATTTTCACACCAAGGTTCAACTCAAAGGTTCAAAGCAGGGAGTCGTAAGAGGCTTTTGCGACTCCCTGGTTCAAAGGTTCAACTCGAGTGACAGGAACGGGCCCAAATAGGCTGTAAATTGTAGCCTGCAGGCACGATGACCAGGTGACTGGTGTACGCATGAGCACGTGACCGCTTACTCAACCGAACGCCGCATCGTAGCCTTTTCGGACCAAAACCAGTCGACTCAGCGGCCAAAAGACTACAACATATGGACCAATAGCGGTCATCCGTGCTTTTGTAAGAACTAAACGGCGTTTTTAGTGACTTTTGCATACAAATCCCTATCTAGTAGGACGCAGTCACCCAGTTTCGGTGGAAGTGCGCGAGGTCGAGCGTCTCAGCTTCGTCGGACCAAGATCATCCGACTCAGCACCCCGAAGACTACAACTGGTGAACATTTGATTTTAGGGTATCCTTCCCCTTTAACAGGATCCGTAGAGCTTGGGTTGCTGAGTCGAGTGGTCTTTGTCCGAGGAGGCTGCTGCCCATGGTTCGTCAGATATTCCCAATCGAACATGTTCGAATCTGAGTGCGCAGTCATCCGGATCCAGGTGATGACGTCACAGTGTGCAGCCAAATAACCACTCCATCTATTACGCACAAAATGGCCATTGTTCAGAGCGCGTTCGATTTGGGAACCGTTTGTCGCAGCTTCGTCGGACCAAGACCATTCGACTCAGTGTTACAAACACTGCGTACCATGTGATTTTCAGCTCGGCAAACCTTGAGGTTATTCCGTATTTTAGCCGTTTCGGAGTTGGACTTTTTCCGTCCAACACGGAACATGACTACTCCTGCGCTGCCGATCCACAAGACTCGAGACTAGCCAAGACGCGGACTCGTCATGTATATGAACAAGGTTGTATTGCACTAAACACTTATCAGTTGTATGTACACACAGACACTCAGTGGACAGCATTGCTTATTAGTCAAGACACGGATTTGTCATGCACTACACTCGTATCAGTCGCATGTACAGTCATGTAGTCAGGAAACGTGCATTTCTCCTGTCCGCCGGTGGTTGTGCTTTGAGAAAGATTTTTTTAGCTTTCCGCATGGAATATATGCAGTCCAGACTCATGTACGCTACAATGATGAGTCCACAACCGTCACAAGTGACAAAACAACGAACACCTCCCTGACCTAAAACTTCCAGATCCCATAGGAGGGGCTTGGGAACTGGTACGACCAACGGACGGAGCGGGCCGTGAAGGGGGCCGTGGCCTACCCCCGGAACAATTTGTAAAAAAGAAGACACAAAATCCTGTGTTCTGGGTGCTTTTGGCCCCTTTTTTAATAACTTTTAGTCTTAGAATTTTACGGTTCACGTGCGGAAAACTACGTTGCCATGTCGAGTCGAGTATGAGTCAACCTCAAATTAAAATCAAAGATCTCACATTGCCCGATTTTTTTATTACGGTTTTGCACGCTCCAGACGGACCACACTTTTCTAAAACTGGTATGGCCATGGTCGTACCAGTCGTAGCGGGTGCTACGCCCCTTCCTAGTGTTCTGAGCGTTGAATCGAAGAGTCATGTCCGTGGTTCAAAGAGCCTGCACTGTTTTCCAATCGAGCAGCGTCCGAATCATGCCAGGTTCGCACCAAAACAAATCACAGGCCACTCAAGGAACATTCAGTGCACTCGCATCACTCTTCTCCATTTTGGCGACTCTGCTCTCCAGAGATCTGATAAATAAGCAGCCTTGTCTGCACTGTCTGCTGCTTCAGTCGCAAACACGACAGCGCTCACTTTTGACCAGCCCACACGGCCATTTCTTCAGCGGGAATACCGAAGTTCCCAGTGCCAGACCGAACTCATGAATGTCAGCCATGGTTGCATCCTCACTCTCACATGGAGTTACGTCTTCGGGTGTCGCTCGCACCACCTACTATCGGTCGCCAAATCATTTGATATAGCGTTGGCAGTATTGCTTTCACGCACTCCTTTCTGACCCAGCTGTACGTTATGACGTTGCAGAGGGTGTGGCGCGGCCGCATGACGTCATGGCGCAGCCTCAGAAACTCAGTTTTTCAAACGGGAATATATCAAGAACGCTTTGTCGGAGACACGTCACGTGGGACCAATACCATTCGACTCAGCGTCCCAAACTCTGAATTTAAATTTTCACCGGACTCCTTTAAACAACTCGCGAATAACGACCCCGGGTATAACAACAAATCCTGAATATTGTAGGCCTACAAATTTTCGAACCATTCCCATTTCGGCCTTCCAGGGCTAAAGCCCATTTCGGCCGAAGCAAATTTTCAGCCTGTGCTGCTGCCGCCTGTATACACTGTCACACGAAACCGTGCAAAGCAAAATTTCGGCCGCAACAAGTTTTCGGCCACACTTGACCAGGCCTAAAATAGCCGAAAATAGATATGCGCCGAAAATAGATATGCGCCGAAAATAGATATGCACCGAATATGTATTGACTTACAGTAATGATCCCGGGTATAACAACAAATCGCGAACAAATGACACGATCTTCCAACCTACTGAACATATGACGGGATACTTTCAACCTGACAAATACAGTAAAAGCAGAAATTTTCGGTGGTGTAATATTTTCGGTATTCTCCAAAATCGGCCGTTCAGTGGAGGGAAATTTTCGGTAAAACCCGTTTTCCAGGTAAGTATACTAGTACTACATGTACTGTTGTGGACATGGAAATCCGGTCGCACGTCTAGCGGCCCCAGGGCGCTGGCCATGCAGCCGTGGACAAGCTGTACACACAGTGCGCTGGTCGCATCGGATCAGCATGTGCACTGCACGCAGCGTTCTGTACGCGTTGAGGGCGCCGGCCGGGTCGATCGACTGAATTTCCATGTCCCCTACAGTACATGTGTAGTGGTACCGGTGGTACCGAAATTTTCGGTGCGTTTTATTTTCGGTTAAAATTGTCGACACCGAGGTTACAGAAAATAAAACACCAGCGAAAATTTCAGCTTTTACAGTAGCGACTGTTCAAGAAATAACAACAGCAAGGACAACGAAGACAGCGGCAACAACAAGCTGCACCCGAGCCAGCTACGTACTCAATCTCCACAGAATCCATGCACACAGAGCATCTCAACTAACCTTGAGGCCTGCTGGAGATGTGGGCACCGGAATGTCGATGTGTGAGCTCATGGCCTCCAGGAACGGCCACGCGTACTTGAGTACGACAAGCTTGTACATGGATTCCTCATAGTCATAGATACGCTGAAGCGTGACGACCTCGTGTGTTGTCAGCTTGGCGTCCTGGTCGACCCAGTAGATGTTCTGCGATGAGAAGCTGCCGTTGAATGATCCATGCTCCTGTACACATTAGATGTGAACAAACACATATGCACATACACATGCATGCACACACGTACACACACACGCATACACACACACACACACATACACATACACACACAACAAAGTTGAACAAACACACATACACACAAATACATAATTATGAGCAACGCTTCTCTTCTAAGAGACACCTGCATGTCAAGATCAATTTTGAAATACACACATACCTGCAAGTCTTCAGTTTGATCAGAGCTGGCGCTAAGAGTGAGTCCGTTGTTCAGGAAGATGCGGCTGTGATCGTAACTGAACCAGGCAGAGTTTGGCGTGTAGTAATTCCCCCAGTTTGGCTTCACCGCATAGCGATAGTATGGACAGCTGGAGAGAGAGAGAGAGAGAGAGAGAGAGGAACGGACGGACGGACGGACCGACGGATGGACCGACCGACGGACGGACCGACCGACGGGCGGACCGACGGACCGACGGACGGACCGACGGACGGACAGAGACAGACAGAGACAGACAGACAGACAGACACAGAGCACAGTCACAGGACAAATGGCATAACGATGAAATTATATCAAAAAGTATGCTCCCATATGCATTTTTTGTCTTTGCCTGTGAGCTGGGATGATTTTGAATATCATTTTTCCATAAACTGACGAGAGGTCGCCCTTTCGCTGCGCGCACTCCCAGCTGCTGGTCTCCAAGATAGTGCACCTGTAATTTGGTTCTTCCTTTTAAAAGGTACCCTGATAACCCAAGGACTTCCGTTTCTACACATATTGCCCAAAACAATACCAAACAGGTATGTTTAAGTCCGGTGGAGTCATATGATGCCTCCGGTAATTCTAGGGTAGTTGAAAGTTTGGTGGTTCTAGGGTTAAATAAAAAACACCGACTATGCATAGAAAAAGATACACTTCAGAAAGGAGGGTCAACTAGGCAAACTAATTACACAACCAAGAGGATTTGACAAATGCCTTGCCCCCCACCCCCTGACACACACACACACCATCCCCGCCTCTGTAATGAGTGGATTATGCTACAGAAAACCATGGCCTCAGGCTTCTGAACCGTGGCACTAGAGAAGATAAAATGAACGTTATTTCCGAAGTGATGAGCAACTTCACATCAAATTTGCCGTAAAACTCCAAATTTCGATGTGAGCTGCAGGTCACTCACGTTGTTTCGACACGCGAGCCAAGTAACCCAAGCTGAACTTTTACGTCAAATTTGGCGTCAACTCCAAATTTCGACGTCAGCTGCAGGTCACTCGCGTTGTTTTGACGCGCGAGCCAAATAATGCGAGCTGAACTTTCACGTCACGTCAGAAACGAGGGAGCTTGGAAGCTCAGGGCCATACGCTATGCTTTTTTTTTGCTTAGCTCATCGTGCATGTTATTAGAACTGATGGAACATTCTCTTTGGCCCCAACTTCGTTGCGGTCTTATAGTGTTTTTCGTCGACCACGATGGCAACAATGCCCAACCACACCACAACGAACTGATCGTCTTAATCATTGTATTGCAGAAGGTTTCCATCTGTCTGAATAACATGCATGATGAGCTAGGCAAAAAAGCATAGCGTAGGGCCCTGAGCAAAAGAAATTAACTTTCTCTTTGCATTCGAGGGAAATACGAAACCGTCTACAACCTTGATGACCTAGGCAAAAAAAGCATAGGGATGTGACAAATTTTTCACATCTCCTATTTCTTTTTCAAGACATAACCTAGGATTCGAACCCGCACTGTCGCCCTGCATGCATTCCCCCGATACACTTCGCATACATACTCATTCTTCCAAGTTGCGTCACATTATCATCTTGCATTTAGCAGTCCTATTTGAAGATTGTGGCCAGCTATCTTTGATGGTACGGTACGGGGCAGGTACGGGATAGCGCCAGGCATGCCGATGCCACAAACAAACACGGAATTTAAGTTGTGTGGACCCTGGCTAGCGCCAGACGTTAAGCAAGTAACGTCTTCTGCATAGCTACGGGAATAACATGCATCTTGTTAACTTCTCTACTGTCCAGACTATCGATACATGTACTATAAGGCGAGCATGCGTAATCAGAGCTGCCCGGGGAGAGACCGGAACGACAGCACAGGAGTGAAACAAGTCTCGTCGTGTCGCAGTCACCCACGCCATCTCCCTAGATGATATGGCATACTGCTGGATAGGCAAGTTGGACACGCATGCTACTCCATTCCTCAGTCACATACATGTGTACCTGTCGAGTAGACATCCCCCACCCCGCCCCCCCCCCCCTCCCCCCCCCCTTCTCCCACCCTACATGCGTCCCAAACACAAATCCACACCCATACGCACACGCACGCATATACGTGCACAAACATGCGTGCACACACACTCAAACACACACACACACCATTTCACCATTTGATGCCCATCACCGGAGGCGATGATAGCGATGCTACAGCAGAAGCCATAGCAGCTTGTGCTGGGATTGCACCATTCAACAGCTTGCAAGACTGAAGAATTGACCACCACTATTCAGCACACACACACGCACGCACGCACGCACGCACGCACGCACGCACGCACGCACGCACACACACACACACACACACACACACACACACACACACCCGTATACGTACCGAGGTACGACGATAGGAGAAGGTGTAACATCGGGTACGTAATACTTGATAACATAACCGGTGGACGTCAGACCATAGATGTACTTGCCGTCTGGTGATCCCAGTGTTGTGGACGTGTAGCCATAAGAACCACCTATTCACAAACAATCATAAAAATAATAATCTTCACTGGTTTGAGGGAAAGAGACAAACGGGAAAAGTCTGAAGACAAAATTGACTGTCACCACCAGGACTCGAATAATAATAATAATAATAATAATAATAATAATAATAATAATAATAATAATAATAATAATAATAATAATAATAATAATAATAATAATAATAATAATAATAATAATAATAATAATAATAATAATAATAATAATAATAATAATAATAATAATAATAATAATAATAGTGTTGAAACGATCTCACCGGCTACTCGTTAGCTCGCTCGCCAGAAACTCGGCTTGTTTGTGCGGCCAGCTCGTTTGCACTAACGAACACCGTACACCGTACTCCGTACACATGTCGACCAGGGAGTCGTAAAGTATTTTTACGACTCCCTGGTCGATCGAGAGTCCAGTCCCGAGCAAAGTGAAAATCACTCGCAGTCAGAGTGACTGTATGGCTGCACGACACTGAGTTGTTTCAGTTGTCGTTGCAGCTTTGGTGGACTCTATACTGATGTCTTGTTCTGCATCTGCTGACCCGTCGAAGGACATGCTTCGGTCAACTCTCCATTCGAGTGAAAGTTACGCTCAGTCGTTTGGAAGTTTTCTCCCGCGATGCAGCGAAGAACAGGGCTACATGTACTCGCAATCTTTGCAAAACGGTCTATTCTTACAAAGCCTGCTCAACGACGGCACTGAAAAGACATCTCGACACCAAACAGCATCCGAAGTGAAGCAGCAGCAACCCCCAATGCCGGCGGTGATAATTTTAAACAGCTGAAAAAATCGAACTTCAAAAAAAATTATATTCAAAAATCATATTGGATACTTCAATGAAACTCGTTAGCTCGCTCGATAGCTTGCTCGTTAGTGGAACTGATCGCTCGTTTGTTATAGATACGCTCGTTTCAACACTAAATAATAAAAAACACAGCTCGCATCTTCCCTGAACCTGTTAGACAGAAGCAGAGTCGACGCATCTGTCAACAGTGTCTGTCGGATCACTGGACTCGTAATCTCGTGCTGTCCGGGCTGTCACAACCCTCACTAATAAAGTCACTTGACTCTCACAACAGACACGATGGAACAGGACTCAGACAAGGAGAAAGGTATTATTCGGAAGGACTTATTGCAAGAACAAACACATCATTCGAGCAGAGGAAAACAAACTACAACTTGTCTCCACTTGCGAAACAGAAAACTAACAACAGCACTGGCTACACTATCAGTACATGTATGAATAAGGGCAGGTTGCATGCAAATATGGATGAAAGTACTGCTCACGGTTCACATGGTTCAGTTCGCGCGAGCCGCGAGCACGCGCGTGTGCCCGAACCGCGTATGCACAGATGGTGACATGAGACAAGACATAACTCAGTGTCGCGACCTATTAATACATGTAGTAATATTACTAATCGTATGATGGAAGAAGGTGGAGGACCGAACATACCTCCCTCTCGAACGAAAAGAAACTTCTATGAGTGAGAATCTATTACACACACAGATTTATGTGAGAAGATGAAAGCAAAGTATGAGCGGAACACACATTACTGATCACTCGGTGATGTCACCAATGGTCATGCCGGTGTTGACGCTGCGAATGGCGTTTGCGGGTGAAGCGTCGGGTACCTCCAGCGGCACAAGGCGGCCAACTGAACGACGGTAGATCTTGCCGTTGATCTTGATGTCCACGACGCGCACTACACCATCTTCACCGGGGTACGTAGCTTGCACTCTCCCGAGTGGCCAGCGGGCTCGTGGTGTGTGCTCCTCAAGCACAATCATGACATCACCTACTTTGACATTCTGCTCGCCGCGGTGCCATTTGGAGCGCACATTCAGCTTCGGCACAACTTCCTTGAGCCACCTGCTCCACACGTCACGTGTCAGCCGCTGAACATACTTCCAACGGCGATGTGGGTGTACCACTCGTTCTGCATCAGCAACATCTTCCAGGGCAGCAGAGACATCTTGATGGCCAACAAGAAAATGCAGCGGTGTCAGGGGGGCCGGGTCATCAGCATCGCTTGAAACGACAGTCAGCGGACGCGAATTCAGCAACGCTTCGGCTTGAATTAGCGCTGTCTGGAGCTCCTCATCAGTCAAGTCGGCACGGTACAACACGGACTGGAGAGCCTTCTTCATTGCCTTGACCAGGCACTCAAAATAGCCACCAAAATGGGGCGACAACGGTGGGTTGAAACGCCATTTGATGCCTTGTGTAGCGAGTCGCTGGCCTGCTTGCTCACTAGCTTGACTCCAAGCCTCCCTCAGCTCTCGCTCGGCGGCAACAAAGTTTGTTCCGTTGTCCGAAAGAATCTCTGTAGGAGTTCCGCGGCGCTTGCAGAAGCGAGTGAAGCATAGGAGGAAGCCGTCCACATCCAAAGAGTTGACAACTTCCAGATGGCAGGCGCCTGTCTGCAGACATACCGCTTCAGCTGGGTACGACCTCTGCCCTGCCGAGTGTGGAACGGGCCGGCAAAGTCAATACCAACGCGAGAGAAGGTTTGCAGTGGTGGTGCTGTGCGGAAGACAGGAAGCTGGCCCATGACTGGATTGGCTGTCCTAGCCCAGGTTCTGCGACACTTCACGCAAGCATGGCGGTGGGAACGCACAGCCATCTTGCCACGAACAATCCAAAACTTGTCGGCCAGATTGGAGAGGAGGTGGTTGGGCCCGACTGAGTGGCGACAGCGGTCATCCTCGCGTCCAATCACCAGCTGGGTGACGCGGTGCCTTGGGGGCAGGATGGTGGGACTCCTCAGCTCGCCAGGGAGATGGTGGGACGTCTGTAGTCGACCACCGACCCGCATGACTGGGATGCCGTGAGACTGATCCATGGTAGGTCGCAGCTGCACCAACGCATCCGAACCCAGCAGCTCCTTGTTGCCCAGGACACGTTTGAACACTTCTGGATACGCATCTTGCTGAGCCTGACTGATCCAGAGACGCTCCGCTTGTTGCAGCTCCTCTGCCGAGAGTTCGTTGATGACAAGCGTCCCAGTCTTTGTAGCCACAGTGACCTGCTGTTGACTGCTATCCGCTGGCTGTGGTTTACGGCGCGCACGGCGAGCAAACCTACGGCACCAGCCTGTGATGCGAATCAGCTTGTCCAGCGATGAGTACCGGGCTGGACCAAGATCAGTGGGTGCTGCAGCAGTAGAACTTCCGACGAAGCTAGCACACATGGATTTCTTTGTCAGTCCTGGCAGCTCCTGGGGAACGACAATCTGCTTTGCTGGCCATTCAGATTCCGGAGCAGCAAGAAACGCAGGGCCATGCCACCAGACTTCATTGATCGCGAGCTGCGCAGCAGAGAGACCGCGAGTGGCTTGGTCGGCAGGATTCCATTTACCAAGTACGTGCTGCCAGTGCCGGCTACTGGTGGTTTCCTGAATCTCCGAGATCCGGTTCCCAACCTCAACCTTGAACTTGCGGCTTGGAGATCTCACCCAGTAAAGAACATTCATAGAATCCGTCCAGAAGAACCGGCGGGCCGATGGAATGCTTAGAGCAACGCCGACATTGGCACCCAGCCGACCGCCAAGCACAGCGGCTTGAAGCTCTAGCATGGGTATGGACTTGCGACGGACCGGGGAGGGTCGGGCCTTTGCCATGGCGAGTGTCACTCTGTTGGCGCCATCAGTCTGCGGTGATAGCACGTACGTCACAGCGGCATAAGCGGCATCGGATGCATCACAGAACGTGTGCAACTGCAGCTCTCCCCTGCTGTCGGCAGTCTTGAAGCTTCGTTCAATGTTGAGAGAGCTGAGGTCTTCAAACTCGCTGAACCACCGCTTCCACTTCACAGCTTGTTCGTGGCCAAGAGGATCGTCCCACCCCAGCCCGCTGATGCAGCTCTGCTGGAAGTTCACCTTTGCTCGGATCGTAAATGGGCTGAGCTGGCCACGCGGATCAAACAGCTGCGCCATGGAGATGAGCACACCTCGCCGGGTGTACTCTACGTCGACCGGCTCTGGGTAGCGGAACGTGAACTGGTCTTGCGCCGCAACCCATGTGACCCCCAGAGTCTTCGGAGACGCAGGTGGCTGCTCGTGAGAGACAATGTCACGGGTATTTGTCACAGCGCGGTGTTCAACAGGAATGGACTGCAGCACTGCGGGGGAGTTGGTGATCCATTTCCGAATATGGAACCCTCCTCGTGCCAAAGTGTGCTGCAGATCAGCTCGCACAGAGATTGCCAGTTGCTCAGTTGGTTGGGAGTTGAGCAGATCATCAACGTAGAAGCTGTGGTCGATAGCTTCCTTAGCAGCAGGCACCGCCGTCGAACAGCACTCCTCTGCCACTTGTTTGAGCGCCCTGCCAGCCAGGTATGGCGAGGCTTTGATGCCAAATACCAGCCGCAGGAACTCAAAGGTGTCGATGGTGCCCGGTGACGACTGCCACAAGAATCGATGATACTTGCGGTCTTCAGGAGCGAGTTGAACCTGAAGGAACATCTCTGTAATGTCACCGGCGATCGCAATGGGCTCGAGACAGAAGCGCAGCAGGACATGAACAAGGTTGTTCATCAGATTAGGCCCTGCATGCATCAGGTCATTGATCGAATATCCGTTGCACTTGGCAGCTGCATCGAAAACAACTCGAACTTTGGTTGTCGTCCTGTCATCCCGTACCACAGGGAAGTGGGGAAGGTGCCACTGGTCAGGGATGGAGAGATCAGCCGCTTCGGAGACGCGTCGAATGTATCCTTTTTCCAGGTACGCCTGCAGCACTTTCGTATACTGCAGCTTGATTGACGGCCAATTGTCAAGTGCCCTTTGCAGAGACTCCAGGCGGTGCAAAGCGAGATGTTTGTTGGACTGGACACTCGGCTTGGTGCCACCCTTCCACGGAATGGCAGCCTGGAATCGGCAGTCGCTGTAACTCAAGCTGCGGGATGTGACGGCCTCGGCTTGCTTCTCCGCAGGGCTCAGGTACTCCGTGGTTGTAGGCTGCATACCAACAGCCTCTAGGC